CTTCCCCATGGAGTCTCCCTAAGCTCCTGTCCGAGTTCTCCCCCTTTCTAAGGACACCAGCTGTGCTGTGTTGGCACCCATCTTACTCTGACTCAGGTACCCTGAGAAGAGTGGGTGTGTGCTTTGACTCCAAAGTTGTTTGAGGAAGAGCATAGAGACACCCCGTGTGACTTAAAAGGGGCACATAGGATCCAAATGATCAGGGGTCAGGTCTCTGGGATTCTCCTCTGAGCAGGAATGAGGGTGGCATGACCGCATGTGTTAGTGGCTGCTAGCACTCATCAAGCGACAAGGAACAGAGTATGTTCCGGGTGGTGAGGGACATCACACATCCCTGTGCTGGTGGAGTCAATTCATGTGTTTGCCCAAACAGCAGACGTAGTACTGACCTTGAACCTAACAGACACCACACGTTCTGGGCGACGATGGTATGTAGCTTCATGGGCTGTAGCTTTATTTTCCCTGTCCTACAGGGGACCGGGAATGGTGTTCTGGGGACAGGGCTCCTAGGACCATCTCTGTATCTTCTAATTTTTGCAGCAAACCCAAAATAGCTCTAAAAGTCTTAGAAAACATGGAGAGAAGCGTTGTTTTGACTTTCTTTGGGATCAAGTATCTTACGCACTGTAGTGTGTGGTCCCCCCAGCTTTATGCAGTGTGCAAATCTGAGTATGCGTCCAGGGTATCTTGGGTGGGTGGGAACTTGTGGGAGCAAGTCACCAAGGAAAGGACACCTCATTTCTGGGCATTGGTGTGGCTTTGGGGAATAAGAATTTACAGGAACACGGATATCAACTTAGCTTTCCTTCCCTCAATGCAGGTTATTAGGGGACCAGGTCAGCTCTGCAGGGCCTGGTAGAGAGAGGGCATCTCAGTTGTTTTGGGGGACAGGTCAGAGTTTCTTCTTTCCAAAGAGGCTGCTGGGCTCTGAGTTTCTTTCCTGGTTAACCTCCCATGAGGGAAAACATCTTTGTTCTGACACAGTTACAAGTGTACAGTAAACAAGGCCAGTGCTTTTATTAGATTGTAGGGAAAGCAGAAAAGGCAGGGTGGGGGTGGGGTGGGGAGGCTCCGCAGGGAGAGGGAGGGTGGTGTTGGGCCCAGCATCACTGTCTTCAGGCGCTGGGCTCTCATCCATGCTGAGAGAACTTGGCACCCCCCTCCAACGGGAGGCAGCTTAGCCGGCACCGCAGGCCAGGTACGGTGACATCCCTCAGGGCTGCCCTCCTCCTGCCGAAGCGGCCCACGGGCCTGATCCCACGGCCTGTGTACCAGGCTGGATTGATGTCAGGTGCTGGACAGGAGAGAGTCGGAGCAGCATACGAGATGCATGGCACACAGGTGCAGTGTCCTCCATAGAGAACCCCTAAACTGATGGAAACCTGGGCACCAGGCCATGTTGGCAACCAACCTGATGAGACCGGCCACAGTGGTGTGGCTTTGGGAAATTAATTTAGAGGTATACCAGTAGCGACATCCCCTTCCTGTCCCACTCTATCTCCCTTCCCCAGGTTCTTAAGGGACCCAGCCAAGATGGGTAGGGGCATGTTGAGGAGAGGGAGACAGGACTGTCCTGGGCAGAGGCCCATTCAACAGGATCTTATTACCAAGAGGTCATCCTCCAGACTGAACACAAGGCAAGGTAACGTTGGCTTAGGAGATGGCCAAGCCCTATACAGGTGCTGGGCACTCAAGGCACCTAGGGAGAGTATGGAGGGGCGGGCAAGAGAGGCTGCCCACCACAAGCACTTACTGCGTGTCTCCATGGAGTGCTGATGGGCTCGGCTGGAAGCTCCCGGCAGGACCAAGGCTAAGAGTAGCAGGCACAGGAGCCATGCCCTCAGAGATGCCATGCTTCTGGCTTCCTCGATGATGCCCTAGAGATGGGGATCTCACAGGAGATGGTATAGCCTAGGGGCAGATGTGTAAGAGTAAGTTGTGTGCACAAAGCTGGGACCTTGGGTTGTGTGTGCAGATGCACATGTGTGTGTGGTACAGGTATGTGCATGTGAAGTACACAGATGCATGTGTTTGGTGCACATAGCTATACTTCTCAGGAGGGATGTATGTGAACTGTGCACAGGCAGCTGTCTTGGGACATTCTTGGGTCTGTCTCTCCATCTGTGTGAGGAGTCAGGAGGTAGACTCCCTTGGTGGGGAACGGGTTTATGGGAAGGGTTGGGGCAGTAGAGGTGGGGGAACAATTTGCTCAAACTCAGAGTTAGTTAGGGTTTGGGGGGCGTTGGGACCTCACTGCCCAGTCCTTCTCCACACGTGGCCCAGGATCTCCTGACACTGAAAATCAGACAGGCAATGGAGGACACTCAGCATCCTCCATCCCTAGTGACTGCACACCCCACAACCCCACAATAACTCAGGACTTCAGACCTAGTTTGCTGAGGCTTCGGAATGAGTCCATGGCACCTGCCTCTCTACACAGTGCCCTTTTGAGTGGCAGAGGAGAGGGCTACTTCTGTGTATGGGAAGGGGTATCCTACTGGAGTACCCCTTTTGACCCCACCCCTGGTGTTTTAGATCCCATTAAAAGATGCTCCAGAGCTTCAATCTGAAGGCTCTTTAACTGACCTTGACTTTCCAGCCCCTTCTTGACCACACAGAAAGAGTTGTCCATCAGAGTTCTTTAAAATGCCCACTCCCTCCCTCTTCACAGCACTGCTGGGGTGTCCTACACAGAACAGGGGAGCCCAGACTAGAGAGAATGGAGGTGCTACCATGGACCATGATAAAAACTGCACCCACTCGGGCTGGGTGATGGATGCCCAGAATGCTAATCGACCCTGGTTCCTGAGCCCCAGGAGCCCCCTTTCTGGAGTACTGTAGACTTGTCTGCCCATTGCACCTACTGGACTCTGCTTGAGAGGGTGTCCCTCAGTGGGAAGTGTCCCACCTAACCCGCCCTCCACCATGGACAGCCCTTGAGTGTGAGAGTCCCCACGAGGGTGTGTGATCCTGGACCACAGACCGTGGGCAGCTCTCTCTGCTTGGTGCCCACACCTGGCTGCTCAGGAAGCCTGGCAGAGAAAAGCCTGGCAGAGGAGCTGGCAGGCATAGGAACACCTGCCCCTCTAGCACTGCCGAGTTACTCACCTGTTGTCTCTTGAGTGTGGCGACAAGGCTACCCGGGTGTCAGGGGAGGCCTGCCTGGCTGCTCACCTTTTATAGGCCAGCAAGGAGGCAATGGACGCCCCCGGTTGGTCCCTTCCTTGAGATGGCGTCTTTGCTTATAACCTGCTGTCCCCAACTGTAACTCCTCCCTCACCAAGACATTTCGTCTTTTTGCTTTCCTTTCTTTTTATCTTAAAAAAAAAAAAAAACCTCTCATCAGTGGTGTGATTTGTTCCTTCCTGAATTATATAATTTCATTTGGGCCAAGTGGCTTTAAAACACATTAACCTCCCTTCTTCATGCTCGCCTTTGGGCAGACTCCAGACTTACGTGTCCACCCATCCTCTCAATGGGAGGCGGTCATCGAACGGGAAACGCCTGTTCTGAAGGCTCTTCCTCTCTTTTCCTGCCTCACCTGAGCCATGGCTTCCTGGAATGGTGGCCAGAAAGTCCCTCACACCCAGGTGGGTGCTTCCTACTTTGGTTGTCCCCGCAGCTTGCTTGTCCTCAGAGGGGTCTTTAGACACACTTCCTCTACTCCATCCATCCTGAGTCGATGACTTAGAAAAATGCCAGGCTTAATTTTCATAAAAACAAAGAGAAGCCTGGTGCTGTGGCATACACCTATAATTCCAGCACTTAGGAACGTGAAGTAAGAAGATGGCTTTGAGTTCAAGACCAGCCTGTCCCAGTAAAACAAAACAAAAAAAATTGAAAGTCAAACAGCAGAAAAGACTACTTTTGTTATAGTTTAAAGGTGGTGTGTGGCAGTGCCCTATCTATAATGCCAGCGCTGAGGTAGACGGAGCGGAGATGGAAGGGTCTCAAAGCTCCTTGGCCACTCAGCTTAGCCAAACCAACAAACAACCTCCAGATTCAGTGACTCAAAAAAAGAAAGTGGGGGAATGATTAATAAAGACATCCGGTGTTGGTCTCTGGTCTCTTATACACATGTCTACAGGGGCCCCACATAAATGTATATATATACCCTCAAATACAACCTTCTAAAAGCCAAGTTTATTTTTGCTGTAAAGGCAATTTACAGGCAACGAGAAAAAAATAGTGCACTTAAAAAGAGAGAAAAGAGCCCAGGTAATGTGCAAAGGCCACCGCTTTTACTTTGGGCGTTGCTTTTGGTGAGTTCCCTGTGCCTTCCGGGAGATTCATCCTGCTTACAGGGGCTGAGCCTCATTCCTTTGATCATCATAGCCAGGGATTGTTAAATTACCTGTAGGTTTATGCTGTTAAAAGTGACTATGTAAGATTCCATCGTTTAACTTGACCCGTCACCACCACGCCAATAGTTACAGGTTATATGAAGTATCATTTAAGTTCAATAGAGCATTCTTGAAGGAACTCTGCATGAGACAAGACAAAGCAGGAGGACTCTCCAGGACCATCATTTCCTGGCCACCACCAGACTTGTAGGAAAAGTGTCAGAATGCCACTTCATTGGTCAATGCAACATCTGTGTTCTCAAGGCATGGCTGCATCTTCCTGGGAAGAGGGCTCTGGCCAGTGGAATCGTTGGGAGAATCGTTGGGAAGGAACTTCAGAAGGAGCATGGCATAGCCCAGAGATGAGGGTCACAGGGACCTTGAAATGCTTGCTTGAAAACTTGGTTCCATCTGAAGATAGCTTAGGTGTTAACAATGGTGATAGCCCAGCCTCTCACCTTGGTGAGAAGAGCCATGGTAAGGCATGTTTCTGTCTTGGGGGTGGGTCTTGTGGGAGATTTCCCTGTATGTGTGCCCAATCCTGGGACCCAAGGGGATGGCTGTGAGAACTTGGGAGTGGGAGTAAGTGTCCTGAATATCGTTGTGGGTCTGGGTCTCTCTCTCTTCTCCTCTCCTCTCCTCTCCTCTCCTCTCCTCTCCTCTCCTCTCCTCTCCTCTCCTCCTCCCTCCCCTGCCCCCATCTCTCTGTCTGTCTTTCTCTGTGTTTGCATCTAGAATCACGGGTCCTCTTAGCAGAGTAGCTTTATTTATCAAAATAAGGACAGAGTGTGCCTTTGAGAGTCTAAACGGGAGCCAGCAGGCAGGGTGGGGGTGGGGGGTGCACAACGACCCTGGTCTCAGCCCAGTCTCCTCCTCCTGCAGGCTTGATGGCATCAGGCAAAAGGTCTGCAGAATCGAGAGGTGCTTTGGGTGGCTGGAGATGCTCCAAAGGCAGATGGCAAAGGGCAGGGGCGGTGTGGCTTGGGCTGCTCTTTCAGGTCTCCACAGGACCCCAGCTGCTGGCCTGGCCTGGGCACCTCAGAGCTGACAAGGGGGTTTCTTTGACCACAGAGAGAAGGCAACTTTCCCCACATCTTATTAACGCGCCATGGATCCCAGGACAGGGGAACCGAACAAGGGCTCTTGAACCAGCTTTGGGCACAGCAGAGGGATTTCCCATCTGGCACAGCTCTGCCTGCCTCTGGGTGGCCAACACTGAAGACATACATGGTTCTAAAAAACTGCCCCCTGGGGTCTGGGATCGTGAGCGGTGGCTGTCAGACTGGAGGAACCACAGAGCTGTGGCTGAAGGGACCGTGACCCTGGGGCATCAGCTGGAGTTCTGAACAGTTGACAAAGTGAAGCTCAGGGCGTGGGGAGAGGCAAAGCTGTGAGGCTGTGCCCCCACACTCCCTGAAGCTGGATTGCTTGTATCACTGGGCTGCAGGAGAAAGCTCTGTGCCCTTCCCCACACTCCGACTCAGATGGATTTCTGCTCCTTGCAGTAAAGGGAGCCCCCTTTGAACAGGACTCCATGGCCAATGTCCTACCTCTTGATCTCCCTCTGGCTTTCAGCGGAACATTGAGGACCCCACTGTTTGGGGTACACTCAAAGTTTTGAGGTCTTTGAACTCTTGTGCTCTCTAGTGGATCAGACAGTGTCTCCCCAGTTCACACCTACCTAGAACTTCGGGAAACAGTCATCTGTGGGAATAGGGCCTTTGTGAGTGTATTGACTAAAGGGGGCATACTGGGTAAAGATGGCCCTACAGGCAACAAATGGTGTCTTGACAAGATGGCAGCTGTTCAGAACCATACAAGGCAAGGGGACATGAAGGTGAGGATGGGGGCTGAAGTCAAGGTGTACTGGAATGGCTGCCATCCCAGAAGGAGGAAGAGGCACCTATTCCTCAGAACTGCAAATTCCACCGACACCTTGATTGGACTTTTGTCCTTGCACACTCAGGAGGGCACATTTCCTGTGGTCGTGATTGGCTTATTTTGCTAGAAGGCCAGGGGAAACAAACATGGGACTCCTGAGACGTGGGTCTCTGAATGAGGGAAAGTTTCCTCCTTGAAGTTTATTCTCAGGGTACACTAGGATGCCGTGGCTCGGCCTGTGTGTTCTCTGGACTCTGGAACATGTCGCAAGCTGGCAGGAAAGAGGCAGCCCTGGGAGTAGGAGATGGCCTCCCTTTACTGGTGGAAGGGCTGTGAAGAGCTGACTACATAGTCATGAGCAAGACTGACTCTGATGTTCTTGGCTTTGGAAAACCTAAATCCTTGATAAATTCCAAAGCCGTCATTTGCGTGAGCTAGAATCCTATGTTTAAAGCGTGAGCTGTCTAGAAAGCGAGGTCCCTAGATAGTGCACCCCAAAAGCCTGTGTTAGAGGCTCGGCTTCGATGTGGCATGGCGGTCGGTAGTTGTGGTGGTGGAAACTCTGGGGTAGGGGGGCAGTGTTGTGGCTCCTGTCTGTGACCCACAAGAAGCTTAAGAACAAGGTCTGTGCCATGGGTGAGGAGCCAAGCCCCGCCCCCCTCATTTGCTATCTGCAATTGCACACTCTCCCATCACACCCGCTTGTATCTGCCTCTCTCCCTCACAGTCAGGAATGTGAATATGCTCAGGGCCTTCGCGGGACCATCTCTTTCCATCACATCTGTGAATGTGGCTCAACAAAGTCAAGGGACAAGGTTAAAGGGTCATAGCAGAAGGGTATCTGGGTGTTCCTCAGGCAGAAAGCATCATCTGAATTACATGAGTTTGTATCTTCCGGGTCAGAGGCTGGCAGGTGACCTGGTGATAGCCAGAAGTCTGAGAACCTGCCATTTCACAAGAGGATCCACACAGAAAGTTCTTCTTATTTCTCACTGGGATGGTGACCACAAGCAGCTGTGAGCATCAAGAAGTTCTGAGCCCATGGGGATGCGATGGTCGTGTGGAGGAGGCAGTGTGGGGCGCTTTGTGGTACTCTCCTGTGCCCATGAACCTCCCCTTCTAGGGCTGCTGGGCCATCACAGGTTTCTGCAAAGCACAAACACACATGTTTATTTAGGTGTGCACATGGCTTCATGGGCAAAGTGTACACACAGATGTAAAAAAAAAACCTCACAGTTCTGGGACAGATACAGATGTAACAGAGAAACATACAGATGTAGGTGTTCACACCGGTGAGGATCTAGACACAAACTTAGATATATGTATGTACACATGCATGCACACATGTTGGCACACACAGATATACACACCAGCATATGCACATAGATATAACGTATGCATATACAGAGAGACATGTGACGTAATACAGACACACACATAGGCATGTATATTGACACCCATGTGGGCATGCAAAGACATACATACCAGCATGTACATGACACATGGGTACATACAACGACATAGACATAGACATAGGTGTGAATGAAGAAAAACACATGCGGGTGTTACTACATATAGATCCAATCTCAGACATGTGAATGTGCTTGCGTGTTCCTGTTTCTGTTTGTTCATGTGTGCATACACTACTCAGTTGCTTGTGTTTGCTTTGCCCCGGCCTTAGTTGGTCCCTTGCTTTTTTTGTTTGTTCATTTGTTTCTGTCTTTTAAGACAGGGTCTTTTACGTACAGAGCCCTGGCTGCCCTGGAACTCACTATGTAGAGCAGGTTGCTTTAGAATTCACAGGCATCCATCCGCCTCTGCCTCCCGAGTGCTGGGATTAAAGGTGTGCACCTCCATGCCTGGCTTTCCCCCCCTTTTTTTTTCTGTAACTCTGTTTTCGCAGATATGAGTTTCCATCCACTGTGTCCATGGCAAGTATTTGAAAATCTAGAGCTTTTGAAGGCAGGGAGCTTAATTTGAAAGCCTATATAAAGATTTAATTGGCAGGCATGCCCTTTAGGGATGACCAGCTCTAGTTATGAGGGTCAGGCAGACTCATTCCTGGCTTCAGTGTGCAGTATAGGGCATCCCTGCCTTAATGTTTGTTGCAATGGGCATGCAGACTCCTGCAAGGGTGAGGTCGCCAACCTCATGAATGTCTTTCTACTGTTTCTGCATCTCTACCTTGTGACACTCTGGCTTTTAAACAGGGAGCAGGGAGTTCATAACCATGAAAGGCCATCTCTGAGCCACGTATCTCCCAGAAGGGCATACACAGTGAGAGAATGGATAGGGGTACTGGCTTCACTCTGTCTTTCTAAGAAGATGAGCTTGCAGGGTGTGGCGAGTTCCCTGAGCCCCTATACGGAAGCTTTCTCTGGAGCTTGGCTGCAAGCCTGCATGACTGCTGCCTCCACTCACTGTGGTTTCTGCCCCTGGCTGCAGAGTTCTGCCAGAGATGGAGAAGGGAATTTATAGATGCCATGAGTTATGTTAGTCAGTCACTTTCTGTACATGAGTTTATAGAAAATTTACAGAGTTTACAGGGAACAGTGTGAGCAGAGGATTCTAGGACACAGAGATCATCTCTCCTGGAAAGGCCTCCAGGTCAAAGCATCTACATGGTGGCAGAAGAAGGGCTGGGGACTTGAGGGCTGCACCCCTCCCATCATGAGATGCCCACATGGACTTGATTAGAAGAGGTACTGGGTGTAGGACTCAGCTAAAACTTGCTTGCTGAGCATACATTAAATTCTCAGTGACAATAAAGAGCTAAATAGTACACAGAGACCTGTCTGATGTGGAATACCCTTCTGTATGCTGTGAATATGTTTTACTACCATTGGTTAATAAAGAAGCTGATTTGGCCAATAGCCAGGCAGAATAGAGCCAGGCAGGAAATCCAAGCAAAGCATACAGGGAAAAAGAAAGCAGAGTCATAGAGATGCCAGTAGCAGCCGGGGAAGCAAGATGCCATGTAACAAGCTGCAAGCCTCATGGTAAAATATATAGTAATAGAAATGGATTAATTTAAGTTGTAAGAGCTAGTTAATAATAAGCCTGAGCTAATAGGTCAAAATATTTGTAGTTAATATTAAGCCCCAGAGAGGTTATTCGGGGATTGATGGGTGGGAGTAAAACTTCTAGTTACATTTGTCCTTGGAGGAGGTTCCGTTTGGCCTGTGCAGGAGGCTGTTGTGAGGAGCCACATGCAGAGGACAATGGCTTAGGCCACCCCTGCGGCTACACAATGAAATATCTTTCCCCAGAAGTCATTAATATTCAGCCTAGATAGTAGGTGGAGTCAGACATACATTTTAGATAAATACTTTGGCCATCCCAAGGAAACTATGGCTTTCCCTGTAGCATGGGTGACCTACTCCAGGGCTGTGTGCATGCTGACAAGACAGCCTGCCACCAAGCTACACCTTCAGCCCAAGGCAAACTTTGAAGAAAATAATAAATTTGGAACTTAGTCTTCTTGGACAAGGTTTGAAGAATTGAGCCAGGCAGATGTCTGCTCACCCTTGAAACTAGAAGGAAGTTGAGGTGATCCTTGGACAGTGTACTGGGTTGGTGAAATAGGGGTAAGGAGAGATATAGGGGACAAGGGTTGGCATAGCTTGGATGTAAGGTTTCCTTCAAGGTTCATATATTGGAGGCTTGGCCCCAGTGGACCTTGGTGGGCGAGGCTTAGTGGGAGCTCTATAGGTTGTAGGGGTCATGCCTTTGGAAAGGATTAAAGACAGCCTTGCTAAAGCACAGGGTGGAGATATGGCTCAGTGGTTAAGAGCGCTTCCTGCTCTTCCAGACAACCCGAGTTTGGTTCTCAGCACGCACATCTAGGAGGCTCACATTCAGTTGTAACCCCCACTCCAGAGGATCCAATGACCTTTTCTGCTGGTGCCCACACACATGCCACAGACTGGCATACACTCACACAGACACACACCCTCACATAGATACACATTTTTAAAAGTCTGCACCTGGCTCCCGTGACTCCAGTATGATCCTCACTCTCCTGTCTGATAAAATGATCTCTCACTGATTCCCAGACATGATTCCCAGCCATTACAAGCATCTCTAAGCAGTGATGCTATCACTATGTCCTTGAAGTCTGCAGAACCACGAGTCAAGTAGATCTGTTTTCTCTCTAAGTAGCCAGTCTGCCTAGTGTATTTCATTACAGCAAGGAAAATTAGACTAACACAAAGTGTGTTTAGGCCTTGATTAGGGCACTTGTCACTGTCACCGTGAGTTTTTCCGGGATGAGGGCCACAACCTTGTCATCTGACAGGTCACGGAGGAACCACTGGGCACGCTCCTAACTCAGCGCCCAGGCTTAAGGTAGCTCAGTTGTTCCTGTGTCCAGGGTTCTTTTCGCTGAACTGAGGGCCTCAGGGGCCAAATGAGGGTCTTCAGGGCCCACCCTCTGTATGCAGCAGCCCTAGCGGGCCTGAGGGCTTGCCGGAGAGCAGCCTTGGAATTTCCGGATTGGCCCCTTTCCAGAGCTGAGCCTGCCCCTTGGGAACTGGGTACTTAGTGATTCTGCCACTCTTTATTCCTTGCTGTATTTGGATACTTGAAAGAAATGTGTTCAGTTCTTGTGCAGATTGATGGTTACCCTCACCTGCCACCCCTCTTTTGCTCTTGATTAAAACATTAGCAAAACGTGAAGCTACGAGGTCACACGGAGAAAGGAGACATTACCGCAAAGATGTGTCTGGCTGTCCCTCTCTTCCCGTTAGGGTTCCTCTGTGTCAGCGAGCCACGGTACACTGATTTCCGGTCGAAAGAACCACCATCTATGCCTTTGGGAAAAGAGAGAGGAGGTGCTTAATCTACCAAAGACCAATCCAAACGAGTCCTTCTCTACCTCAGACATTGGACAGACATTGACGGCCTCTGTTAGGAGGGTTCACACTGGGACACACTTGGCAAGAAGCACTCAGTGGTTGTGTGAATACCAGTTCAGAGGCTTCTACCTCTTTTAAAGAGTCAGGGCCTGTTAAGAAAGGAGGCAGGGCCAGCAAGAAAAGTGTGGGGCCAGTGACCAGGAGATGGGGCCACCAGGAAAGAAAGCGGTCAGTGAGGAAGGAGGCAGGGCCAAAGCTTTTAGGTTGCTGGAACTGGAGTTTGTGTCCTTTTCCTCTGTGGCTCTGGAAGAATAACAGGGACTTAGGACACTTAGGTCAGGGGCACGTTTATCTTCTGCCATGTGGTTTTGTGACAGGACAAGAGACCTGAGGGGTGCTGGGACTCCAATCCACAGAGCAGAAGTCTTTTAGGCCTGTGGCTGCAGAGTTGAGGGCCTTGGCCTCCAGCCTTAACCAACTGCTTGTGTTTAGGTGGGGGGAGTGGACTTTCATGGTTCAGGTGGGAATTTCTTGATTGAAGGAAGTGGGGCTGGCTCATAGTACTCTGGTGTCCTGATGGTCTCTCCAGACCTGTTTTCAGTGATGTGCTACACATCAGGCCTGTCTGCCGAGGGGATTTGGGGCTCACCTCTGTCTTCTTGTTGCCCACACTCCTGTATTTGGAGGTTGCCAGAAGCTGCCCTTGAAGATTAAACTGTGGTGCTCTAGAAGCCCCAAAATTTCAACAGCAGCTCCTCATCGTCCCTTCTCTAAGTTAACCCTGACTCTGAGGGCCTGGGGTACCAGCCCTGATCTTCAGGTGAGCCAGATGTGTGCTGGGACCTCAGTGGATGCAAAGAGGAGTCTCTTCCTGGGCTCTGCTTCCCATCGGTAGGAGGAAAGAACCCTTCTCTACCATACACTCCCAACACCCAGTGTGCATGGGGGGAGTATAGACTCGACCCTCTAAAGTCACAGGCCAGAATGCACCCTCATCCCTTTGAGTTTCTCAACAAGAATTTCCACAGTGATAGAAAAAGTAACTGGTGCACTTCCATGTTCCCAGGACAAAACTGATGTCCTTGTCATCACGGAGACTTCAACTTCAAAGTCTTCTAACTGCCTGATATCCTGCATTTTCTATAGGGACTTTTATACTGAAACCATGGAAACACCGGCCCTACCAGTGCTGCCTGTGCTTGCTTAAATCACTTGGAACACCATGCATGGGCCCTGGGGGGGGGGGTGTATAGGAGCCTTTTTGGATGTTCTAAAGAGGGAGGGCCTAGGGTGGGTTCCATAGATTAGGGAGGAGTGTGCAGAGCCTGGCTGGCTTCGTTCCTCCTCTGAGCTCATTTCTCAGTAGCAGCAAAGCAGGAAGGGGAGCAGGTGGCTCTTACCTTGACTGCTGGGGGCATACTTCGTCTTCAGGAGATAGGGCAGCACCGTCGCCTAGGAGGAAGAGAACATCCCTGGGCATTCCTGAGGTGGAATTGAACTAATTTGGGACTTCTTTTTTTTTTTCTTCTGGTTTTAATTACCAAGGTCACCTGTTTTTTATTCTCTGCCAAATATTCGAGCTCTTAGTATATGCACACTGTCTGCAAATCATGCACCAGAGCCTATGTGGAAGAGAAGCCAGGGAACTGCCTGCTTTAGGTGGAGGGTTGGAAAGACTACAGGGACCTGGGTTCGAATCGCAGTGCTGCTGCTTACTACCACACGCTAGAATCCATCCTTTGGGACCGCCACTCTCTTCCTCTGTAACACGTGGATTCATGCTCTGTAAATTGTGTGCCCTGTGTCTGTTGTTCCTCCTCCTTCCTTTCCATGTGCTCCCCTCTCTACAACATGCTAAGAAATCCATTCTCTGTCTGACCTTTTCAGGAGTGGAGAGAGCAAATGGCCCAGTTGCCACCGCAATGTTCCCCAGTGTCAGGGATGCTCCAGTGGGCCTAGCAGCAGGTCCTGCAGGTAGAACTCAGAGCCTGTCTCCTGGGCTTCTTGGGACTCATAGGAACCCATCAATGTCAGGGCCCAGGGCCCAGTCATTGCCCTGTTGTGATTTCCACACATTTGACCGTGGCCAGGCATCCACCTCCCTGAGTGGGATTCATGTGTCAGTGTCACAGAGTGTCATTGCCCGCCCACCCAGGTTTTGTAACCTAGGTAAAGGGTGGATAGAAACCAACAGCCCTTGGAACTGATAAACTGAGGAGTGGCTGGATTTGTTCAGTGATGCTCAGTGAGGGCCCGGGCCAGGGTGGGCAGGGCCTGGAGCAGGCCTGGAGACAGCACCCCGATCCTGTTCCTAATATCCCCTAGACACATGGAACTTTCTCTTCCCAGGCCTGTCCTTCACTCACATCCCATGAGAGTGTCTTCCCAGTGCTGGTCTCATCCTTGGGCCATTTACCCATACAGTGGCTCCTTGTGTGCTTTCAGTTCCCAACCTAGCAACTGCATCTCTCAGACAGGGGACAGATGACAGGCTGCTATACATGATCTGGGTGGCAGAAGAATCCAGAAACACATGTGGCGCTGGCAAGACCCCTACCCAAGACTGATGTGGAGGATAAACACCCCAGCGACTTTGTCCCAGAGAAGGATAAGTAGGGTGTGACATCCCTGTCCCCAGAGCTGCTTAAGTAACTGAGCCAGGGAGCCTGGTGCTTGACAGAGGTTTCATATACCTGTGTTCCCCATCTCTGCACCTTGCTGGGATTTCTGGGATTTCTCTATCAGGTACTACCCTACTCCCCTACCCTCTACCCACTGACCCAGTCTGCGGACACGTCAGGCATTGCTGAGCTGTTGGGTCTCTCTCCACACCCTCCCCTAGCACTTGCTCTTTGGAGGGAGTTGCCTCGGAAGGCTGTCGTGGATGGTACCTTGGGCACCTTGTCTTGGTCCTCAGGGTCTGCAGAGGGCTCCTTTGGGATCCTGTCAAGTTTTTCAGTAACCCGGGGAAGAAAGATCTGGAGACCAAGGAAGAAATGTGTCGTTATCATCTTGTTGAACCATGACATCCAGAGTGGGAGTCAAGCAGGCACGGTGCAGGACAGTGGTCCCTATTGACACTGGTCAAGCATGCTGGGATAGAGTGTAACACCACACCCCCATTTCCACCGGGGTTCTAGATAATGCTTTGGAAGATTGGTTTAATGTATTACATTTGTTCATGCTGCATTTGTTAACCACATAAAAATGTGTTGCTTTTGCCTTAAATAAAATTAACCTGTACGCAGAGAGCCGTGGCTAACAACTGGTTGACAGGAAGTGGCAGGGAGGCATTTAGCGTGGATTTTTTTTAGTTGGGGAGGTGTGGAAGGGAGTGGCTTTCGGGATGCCAGCAGATAAAGTTAGTCAGTTGCTACTCTGGCTCTCTGAGCTTGCAGGCTTTCATGCTATCCTTTGAATCTCAATTAACTTTAGCAGCAGCAGCGCCAGTGTCTGGGGGAACAGAACTCCCCCCAGGCCACGGCCTTAGTAGCCAGGCTGCTAGGAGTTTGAAGCTGTGACAAAAATAAAATTACAAGGCTATGGAGTCAGAAAATTAAGATGTACTTTCCAGCTGGCTTTTTATGCCAACAAGCAGTTTCTTGCCATAGTGGGGATTTGAAGTCACATGGGGGATGATACTCACATGTGAAAGTTACATATCTATCTATCTATCTATCTATCTATCTATCTATCTATCTATCTATCATCTATCTATCTTTCTATCTATCTATCTATCATCCATCTATCATCTATCAATCATCTATGCATGTATGTATGTATGTGTGTATGTATGTATCCATCCATCCATCCATCCATCTACCCATCCACCTACCTATCTATCTGGAACAACACATTAACTGGGCAGTAAGGATTTAATACCTATCCCTACCTAGGGGTGCTGCAGGCCATTCTTCATTCTTCTACCCCAATACCCCCACCATGGCTCTCTCTGTCTGAAGCCTCTGACTGGACTTGGGGAAGGATGTTAGGTTCTGATCAGCGATCTAAGCACAGGTCTAGCGGCCTTCCTTCAGTAACTCCAACCACGCTCATCTCAAAACGGTCAACGAATCAAGTCTTCCATCACCAAATGAGGTTTGGCCACCCACCCGCTGGGGCTCCACGTCGGGAGCTTTGTATATGAATAGGGTGGGAGGGCACTATATGTGTAGGGCAGAGAACAACCTTGTGTGTCACCTTCAGATGCTAGCCACCATCTTTTTTGAGATAGGGTCTCTTACTGCCCCATATCTCCCCAAGTAGACCTGGGTGGCTGACCAGTGAGCCCCAGGGGTCTTCCTGTCGCTGCTTCCCCAACGCTGGGATTGCAAGTGTGTACCAGCACCACCGTGCCTGGCTTTTTTATTATTATTTTTTCTGTGTTACAAATTCTGAGGATTGAACTTGTGGTGCCAAGAGATTTTATATATCTCCTATCTTCCCAGCCAGGGCTTTTACTCCATGGTCCCTGGGAGGTCCTAGGGGACACTGTGGGCTAGTGAGGACATCCTGGGGGGACACAGGCTTGGTGTTCCACACCTCTACCCAACTCACTGGGATGTTTGACTTTCTCCGGGGTTTTCCTGAGGGTTTCACTGTGAGCCCCGCTGCCCTCAGGGCTGCAATCCTGGACTCGATGTCCGAAACCTAGAAAAGAGAGGGACAGACGATAGACATGACAGACGACAGGGAGCCAAACAGATGTCACTCAGTGTTCCGTCTCAGATCATAAAGATCAGACTCACAACCATAACCTCCTTGTGGAATTGAACTCGGGGCCTTGCACATGCTAAACACGGGGTGCACATACCACTGAGCCACACCGCCAGTCACTCCCTTAGTTTACCTCAGTGGTCCCCATCTGCCGTCCTCTGGAACTTTTTCTCCACTTCCCCATCACTGTCTTTGAGTCTTGGGGTTTCACAGTCGGTCCATGAACTCACTAATCAGGACTCCACCTCGGGGCCTTTGCATGTTCTGTCCACTCTGCCTGTGCTCCGATCCCCTAGAACATTGGTTCTCAACCTCCCTCATGCCATGTCCCTTTAATATAGTTCCTCATGTTGTGGTGACCTCCAACCATACACTTATTTATTTATATACATACATTTATTTCATCGTTACTTCATAACTATAATTCTTGCTGATGTTATGAATCGTAATGTAAATATCTGATATGCAGGAGGTCTGATAATGTGGCCCCCCCAGGGGTCGTGACCCACAGGGGTCGTGACCCACTGCCCTAGCCCTTCTGTGCTGGATTCTCTCCAGTGTCCCTCCACCACCTTCTCTAAGCGTCCTTCCCTGGGCATTCTGGGATAAACCTCCACATTGCCCTCATTACTATGTCATGATGTAATCGTTTGTTTTGTTTCCATTTTTTGTTAGGTGTCCACTCCCACAAAGAATCTAAGTTCCACAGAGGCAGGAACCTGGGCTCAGGTCTTCACAGCTGTCCCCTATGTGACCTGCCCATTCCACATTTCAGAAGGGAGCCCTTGGGGAAAAGGCCTGGGCCTATCACACCTCCCTTCCTTGGGCTCTCTCAACCATTTGCTGATGAGGGCAGGGGCCCTGGATGTCCCCATAGCTTAGTTGCAGGCCTTCTTTCTTTACCGGGAGGACACTGCAGTCCGCCAGCTGTCCCTGGAAGACCTGTACACGCTGGCTTGGCCTGGACCTGTGCACTGTTGATGTCTCTCCCCCGAACCCGAGCCCTACAGTCACCGCTCAGGCTCACAAGAACCATCTGCCAAGTTCAGGTGTGAGCCCTGCTGTCCTAACCTCTCAGCCTGGGTCTAGGTTCTGCTCGCAGGCTGGGGGATGGTGACGATATGTATCTTTCTTATGACTGAAAAGCTTGCCTGCATTTCCCAGGTTGAGCAAGGAGCAGCAAGGTGGGAAGAAGCACTCTGTCCTATTCCTGACTGCCAGGGAGGCCTCTGTGAGCCCGCAGGTGTGCTGTTGACTTCTCAGACCTCTGCCTGGATCCCATCACCAGGACATTGTCATCCTTGGGGAAATTTTGTCCAGGGGATGTAAGGCTACCTCGCTCTCGGATTGCTGAACTTCAGAGGCTGCCATGGCCACCCTGTCCTCCATCTCTGACAGCTCCTCGTCTGTGCTCTTTGTAGTCCGAGTAGGGTTCCCAGGCCCCTGAAGGTTTCTTCCCTGTGTCTCCATGTGCCCCACGTCTGTGCACACCTAGGGTCAAGAAGGGTGACACTGGTCATCCATGAAGCAGATCACAGGCTGCTGCCTCACTGTTGAGTCCCCCCACTTCACCCGTGTGGTCTTATCAAGGCCCCCTTTCATCCGTGTGATCTTATAAAGTCCCCCGAAGCCTGTAGTTAGTTATCCACCATCCCTGAAAGGGTGGGTGGCTACCAGGACTGTCACTCTCGCTCTGCCCTTTGCCTGGGACCGAGAGACCTTACCTCTGGGGACACTGCATGGAGGGTGCCACTTGACTTGGTCTCATCTTCGGACGAGGTGCCAGGATCACTGATGTTTCTGGTCAGCTCCTCCAGCCTCCTCCGGAGAGTCTCCTCCTCTGTGTCTGCACTGGGGTGTGAGTCCGCAGCTGGTTCCTGGCAGGGCCAGGCAAGGGTCTCAGAGGCAGCTTGGGGAGGTGGGCTAGCCTGAGAAGACTCCAGCACCCATTACCATTTAAGGCCCACCCTTTGCCCTGCTCCCTCATCACCCCAAATGTTCACCTGGATAAAATAGGCACATACAATTTATTCTCGCCATTACAATGCTCAGTTCTTCATCATGGCATCGGCACTGCCTTCTTCCCCACAGAACTTTCCCCTCTTGCTATACTGAGCCTCCACCCACACCGAACACTCACTCCCCATACTTCCCCCAGTCCTAGGCGTCCATTACGTTCCTGTCTGTCTTCCTGAGTCTGACTTGCTGGGCTCCTCGTATGAGCAGCATCGCATGGTCTGCTCTCTGGGGGAGCTCATTTCATCGAGCCTAAGTCCTCCAGGCTAACCCATGTTGTGGTACAGGGCAGAACACATCTCTCTTTTAAGGACGACCCATCAGACCATAGGGTTTGGACAAGACACTGAGCTTTCCTTGGGGGATGTGCTCATACGTGGAGGGTAACTCCTCCCTACACTGCTCTCTATTCCCACTGAGCCTGCAGCTCTTCCATTTGTTTCCAGCTCTGGTCCTATGTCCATGGACCTAAATTACAGCCCTGGGCATTTGGCTATGGCTCATGGGGATGGGGACAAGGTCTCTCTGGTTCTCTGCATTCTCCCTTTGTGAGACTGAGGTGTGCCACAATGTGGATCTCTCAACACTACTTAGATATTCTGTGTTCCCGTAGCACTTTGGGGGGGGGGTCTATCCTGGATTCGCATAGCAACAAGGACCCTCACATTTTCCAGTTATTGTGAGTTCAGGGACAAGGTGGAGGTGTCACACCTTATCTTCATGTCACTTTTGCAACCCCCGCCCCAGGCCAACATCAAGTTGCAGAATGTTGCTGACAGAAGAAAGAGAAGGTGGCAGTGCGTGGTGACTTAGTGACACCGTCCTTCATAGGCAAGTCTTCTTGAGTGCACATCAAAGGAGGCAGCCTGCGTGGGACCCTGTCTCTTTGTCTTGATGAGATTTTAAGGACCTAGAATATCTATTTGCTCTGACTGGTTAAAAAAAAAGTTCAAGAAAGTCCACATGTGTGTCTTAGGCTGGCTTTGGAGCCTAGACAGTGGCCATTTCTTTGCTGCTTGAAGTTACTCTCCAACGTGATGTCCTTCAGCCACAGTTCCTATAAGAGGCATTATGACTTCAAGAGAAGTTGGGTCAGGAAGGGACTGGCAAGCAGCTACCAAGAATAACGTAACCACTACTTAGGGATGGGGAAGAAGCGTGAGAATCATGAGTCTCTCCGGTGAGGTAGTGCAGGCTGGGGATGCTGGTCCAGCTTCAGCACCCGAGGTGTCTACAGCTGGATGAAGATTCATCTCACAGGAGTTTATGTGATACCTACCCACACTCTATCACCTTGTGATCAGACTTGGGCTGCTTCACGTGCGTGGGCTATGCAGGAAACCTCATTTATCCATCCTTGGAGCACTGTGCACCAACCAAGCAAGATCTCTGAGACACTTCCCCAAAGTGGACTTTAACCTCCCTTAAGGGGAGGCTGTGGGCCGATCTCACACAGCCTAGGGTATTGTTACCTGGGCCGAGGGTGGCAGGACCACGTTCTCCAGGTGGCCCAGCAGGTGCTCCACAGCTGACATGCGCTTGTTCAACTCCAAAATCTGCATCAGAGGAAGAGAGGAACAGTGGTCTGGTTATAGCGGAGGACCTCCTTGCAACTCCCACCAGCACAGGGGTCTTCCTCCTCATCCCAAGTCCATCTAGGACACAGCCCTGGAGGTTAACTGTGAAATCAAGGGTGTTGGAATCGAGAGAGGAGGTGACCGGGGTGTGAGGACCATGTAGGAGAGATGAGCAACCCAACTAGACCTCAAGGCAGCTGAAAGAGGTGGCCGTGTCTGTCATTGGGCAGCTCCTGTCACTGTCCTGGCTGATTAGCGCAGGAAGATGTGCATTAAGCTGGACACGGTGACCAAAGTCATTAGGTCACTTGTGACCCAAAGCACAGCTTCCTAATCTCTTTGAGTCACCAGACTCTTGAGTCAGCTAGTCTATTAGCTCTCAGACAGAGCCCGGAAAATCAATTCCTCTTCGCTCTGCTTCCTCGCGGGCGGCCTCTCTGTCCTGCATTATCTCATTTACCGCCCGCCTGGCCTCATGAGAGGGAAATGACACGCACAGGGGTGGGAAGCTGTCATTGTTGGTGGGTAATTACCATGGCACTGAGGACTTGCAGTGGGGGAAGATGGCTCACTGGAAATGTCAACGCAAATGTATGTGAGCCCCGTGCCCGTGCTTGCCCTCTGCGGACATGACTGAAGGTTCACATGGTATTTGTTGTGTTGACAGCGATCAATATCCTCAGTGGGCTGTCAGCAAGTAGCCTTTGTCTATTGACCCAGGAAGCACAGGTGGGGTCTTGGAAAGAGGAAAAAGTGCCAAGACTCTCATTGCGAATGCCACATAGGGTGAGTAAGAAAGCAAGCCACTAAGGAGGCTGGGAAGCTGGAACTGGCGAAGAAGGCAGAGGCTCAGAGGGGCCAGCAAAATAACAGACAGGGCAGTTGGCTCAGAGGGCTCAGCGGTGGCTTTCTGATGAGGCCCTGGCTGTAGCTAGGCTTTGTGGAGAAGTGGGGACCACCAGGCCTGTGAGATACACAAGGAACTCAGGCAACTCCAACTTCGGCCTGGTAGCTGGAGCCTCTGGAACTTTGCAGACAAACCCACCACAAAAAGGGTCTCATAAGGGACCAGGGTTTCAAGTAGAACTGGAGTCTCCCATTTTGCCAAGATGGAGGCAAGCACAGGATGAAGATGAGCAGCCTCACTTTCTCTGTGGGTGTGGCAGAGACACTGTAACCCAGCACTGGAGAGGCTGAGGCAGGAGGATGGCAAACTTATGACCAGTCTGAGCTACAAAGAGATAGATTGCCTCACAAATCCAAGGGCTGGGCTGTGTGTGACTCAGTATCAGAGAGTTCACTCGAGGCCTGGGGTTCCATCTCCAGCCTGAGGTGGAGATTTCTCCCAGTCTCTCACGTCAGAATTCCCCCCTCTACCCATTTCCTGTGTGTGTGACCTTCATAGAAGGTTAAATAAGTCCTGCTCGGGCTCAGAACCCTGGACTCGGCCTTTGAAATGCGAATGTCACCATCCCCTGCAGGAACCATTTCCTTGCTTGAACACGGAAATCTTCCTCTTGTCTTAAAGGCAGGGGACACAGGTTCTTCTCTGGCCAAATCAACATTATATGGCTGTCTTTTGGGGACTCTGATTTCAATCTTGGTGACCATATAATCAAAATTAACTACAATTCTGTGCGTTATCACGGAAGAGCCAGGTGGCAACTATATTTTAATTTCTTCTTAGAGACGGAGTCTGGATATGTAGTCTAGGCCATATTCATCTACCTCGGTGTTTCAACTCATTTGATTAGCTACCATGCATGACTTTTCCTTCCTTCCTTCCTTCCTTCCTTCCTTCATTCCTTCCTTCCTTCCTTCCTCCCAACATTTTGAGGAACTGGAATACTTTGTCAACTTTACATTATATAAATCTACTTCAATAAAGTATGTATGTATGTGTGTGTGTATATATTGACATATTCCTACAATATAGGCAATTTTATGTCTAAAAGTGCAGAAAGCATCAGCTGCTCTAAAGTAACTTGGTGTGGAAGAGAAAAAAAAATCCATCCAGAGAAACACAAAGGTGGAATTCTCTCAAACCCCAGTACCTGCGTGTCAGGCATAGCTCGGGCCCTCCTCTTGGAATGCTGGGAAGCTGCCCTGGGATCCTGGAGACTGTCTTCGTCAGAGGTGTCCACATCAGCCAGGTACTGGGAGGGGAGCTGTTTGCTTTTGACATCATCTATCCCTTTGGAGAAAGGTGGGGTTTGAGCTGAGTGAAGGGTCACGAGCCCGGGAACACATTTGCCCCTTGCTTGTGTCTGGTGCTCTGCAGGTCCCACCCTGAGCTATGAATCCTGCCCAGGAACTGCCTGATGACACTGCAGTCCCTCCAATGCAGCCTGGGAGACCCTGTGCCAAGGATACCCCAAACCCAGCCCATACTCTGACTCCCTGTGAGATCACACTTGTCATCACTAATTTAGTATCTGTTTGGCAACACACGTGACCATCTCATTTAGTCCCTACAACTTTGGGGCGAGCTAGAAAGCACTGCTTTTCCTAGCAACGACAATGAGGGCCAGGGAAGCCATGTGACCTGGTGGCATACCATATCATCATGTCCCTGATCTTGGGGACAGTCTGCTCCATCAAGAGAAGAGCCAGCCATTCCCTGACACTCCTTTCTCCCCATCTCCACTCTGTTATCCCCCCACACCCCATCTAGGAGATGCTGTGTGGGAAGTCTTGTGTGAGGACCAATGAATGTTGCTGACTGGGTTCCACTCTCAGAACCTCCCAAGCACAAGGGCCTTTGCTCAGCATTGCTGGGTCTTCTGCTCCTGCTTGCCTCTTCCACATGATCCAGGGTCATGCCATCATGGGAAGAAATATAGAGTCTTATTCCTGGACAGGCTTATTCACTCATAGTTTTTGGGAACAAATAGAAGCCCATTTCCATCCCCAGGACCCTAATCCTTGTGGGGAACACGAGGTTACAGTCTCTAAGGACCAACAAGGAGGCAGGAACAGACAGGTCTCCCTGCAGCAGCTACATGCGTGCGGTCGGAAGGCACGCTGCAGCTGTGACCTCATTAACTCTAACTTAATCCGCATCTGAACTGCTGAACCCGGCACACCAGCACCCTTGGGCGCAGGAAGAGGCATCCTCGGGGATTCCACTTGGAAGGCTAAACGGTCTGATAAAAATCTAACAGAACCGGAACCGGTTTCCTTCTCTGGCTCTTTGTCTCCTGATGAGCGGGACCTGCTCTGCTGATCTCCCAGTGTAGCTTTGGATTTGGTGGAACTGTAGCCGTTTTGAGGAAATTGACATGTCCCTACCCTGTATCAGTGGCAGCAGACTGCAAATGGCTTAACGTCTTTCTTGCTATTTCTAGGCATCACAGGGAAGCCCTGAGTCAGGCAGAAAAAGGTCCATGAGGTTTGCAGGACAATTACCCGGAAAGAACTGGCCAGTCTGTCTAAGTAAATTAGGGGGAGGGGCTGGCTTCTTAGGGACTCCTACCCCCAGAAAAGAAGTTGGCTAGAGTACCTACCAGGCATAGCTGTGGCCCCTAGGGTCCTCTTGCAGGATGCTCCAGGCGGGTCCAGCTCCGTGGGAGCATCCTCTCCGGAGAGCAAGGAGCTATATGGCTGCTCTTCTGGACTGAGGTGACACCCTAAAGCCCCTGCCTCAGTATTCTCCAGGCCCCCGGGCTCTAGGGAGGTGGTATCCTCAGAGTAGGGCTCACCTGAGAGGGACTGAACGCATGGGTTGTCAGCTTTGGCTGCTCCGATGGTACTGACTGAACACTAGACAGCCATCTGCTCTGGCACGGTGCTCTTCAGCTCTATTTCCAGTCACTGTGCCAAGAGCATTTACGGCCCTTCTGCTTCATGTCTGTGACACCAGGGTTCCCCGGGACACTGGGCCCAGGCATCAGACTGGAGACAGAAGCATCGTGCCAATATTTTACTTCTTTCTTCAGAGAGAGGACACGGTTACTGTGTCTACTGTAGCCAGGCCTTGATGGCCAGAGGGTCAAAGCGTGGAGGTGAGGTTTCCTGAGCAGACTGCCCCCAGGCTGAGGGGTCTTCATGGTGCCACTGTCCCCAAGGGATCTATGTATTGAGGGCTCCCAGAGATCACTGACCCAGCATCTCTATAGTTTGACCTTGACTGGTGGAGTGGCATGGGCTCTGGGGGAGGGGGAGTTGGAGGAGCAGGGTCTATGGCCCAATGTTCCCTTAGAGGTTGGCTTCTGTGTCCCCAGTGTTCCCTTAGGGACTGGCTTCTGTGACCCCAGTGTCTCTTAGAGGCTGACTTCTGTGACCCCAGTGTTCCCTTAGGGGCTGGCTTCTGTGACCCTGCTCTTTACCCTTTCCTTCTATGAGGGTCAGAAGGCTCAACCTGAGCCCAGGAGCTGCTGGAGGGTTCACAACAAAACCTGACCTGCCTGGCCTTGTGCTAGCTCCTGTCCTCACAACTCTTTTTACTGCCTGTCTGCACGTCTCGTGCATGCTAGGTATGGATTCTCGTCTTAAAACTAACCCGAAAGGCAGAGGTTATCAGCCTTCTTCCGAAATGAGCAGATAAGGCATCAGAGACTTTCCAAGGACCAAGGTCACATGGCTACTGAGCAGCATGCGGTAAGAGCATTTGCCTTCACTCTCAAGATCAGCCTCGTCTGACAATGAAGTGCATGGTGTCCTGGCCAGGCACGGGTGCAGCTCAATGCAGGGTCCTGTTTGGATCCTTAGCAGATGCCATTGTTTATTCTGCCCTCCCAAGTCTTTATTTCTAGGCTGAGCACCAATCCTCACATCCCAGGCCCCTGACTCACCCACCTGGCCTTAGTTCCTGCCTGCTCCAACCTCTCCAAGTGTTTGCTCAGTCTCCTGAGATGCTGGCCTTGGGAGATGTGAGTTTCGGAGTCCTGTTCTCCCACATCCCACCTCCAGTTGTCTCCCTGTCGAGAGTCTGATGTGACCTACTGACTATAGGATACTGTGTCCCCAGGTACAATCCCATCTAAGGCCCAAGCACCTGCTTCCTAAAAGGAATGGGGGTAGGTGGGCAGATACCAGAGTGCACTGACCTGCAGGCTGTGTTCTGACTCAGGGACAGAGGACAGGCCCAGGGTATGGCTGCAAAGCTGCATCGAGTGTTCCGAGTCTTCCTCAAAGTCCAAGTCACTGAAGGAGAGCAGGCGCTTTTTCTTCTCCAGAGAAGATAAGCAAGACTGGTCAAACCCCCAGCCCCTCACTCAGTCTCCAGACAGTCAGCAGCCTCCCCCGAGGGCACCCACCTTAGACTAGAAACTGAGCCCCAAAGCAGCCCTGAGGTCAAAGGTGGCCCAGGAGCCCATGGTATCTGTCCCGTCAGAAGTGACACTGTACCCAGGGCCCTAGTTGTGCCGTAAGGAAAGTGAGTTCTTGGCTGGCCAGGTGCTCCTAGGGTCGGGCCTGTGGCAGTGCTGAAGGTAGTCCACACAGAAGGCATCCTGGGACTTCAGGTATATGTAGCTCACTGACTATGGGTGGAGAGAGGTGACCACTCTGTCTGTCTGTCTGTCTGTCTGTGTATCTATGATTTATCTATGTATCTATCTATGTATATCTATCTATGTATCTGTCTGTCTATATCTATCTATCTATCTATCTATCTATCTATCTATCTATCTATCCATCTATCTATGTATCTGTCTGTATCTATCTATCTATCTATCTATCTATCTATCTATCTATCTATCTATGTATCTGTCTGTCTGTGTTTCTATGTATTTATGTATGTATGTATGTATCTATCTATCTATCTATCTATCTATCATCTATCTGAGCATTTTTTTTACAACTGCTACCGCCCCTTGGTACAATTACTCTGACCCTTTAAATGTGTGCTTTATTGTAGAATGTTCTAGACACTGGCTGGGTTGTATTCCATGAGCTCAGCAAATGGTATGAATCAGATCTTGTGCAAAAGATGACTGAGTGTCTCCAGATCTTTTCTCAGATCTGATTCTAGGGCGCTGGCACCTTCGAAGGGTTCAAGGCCAAATTCACACTCTCTAGTCCACGTCCTCTCCCTCTGACTCACCATTGCCATTCTGTCCCCAAACCAAGGCACCACCTGACCTGTCTCTACAACCGAAACTAATTTAAAAGATGAACAAGAAGAGAAACAACCACTTCTAAAGACAACTTCCATGATCTGAAATATGCGAGGGCCGCTCCCATGCAGGTCCCTTGAGCTATCTGGACACAGGTCTGTCCCATACACTCTTTGTCATGGCACCTGGGTGCCCCAGAACTCCAGTCAGGCCAGGCCCGGCAGTGGGGTTTGTCCATCTGTACCTTGGAGTTTTGGAGCTCTGAAGTGAACACTGGGCTCCCATGCTTAGGAGGGAGGACCCCAGGAAGGAAGGGCTCAGGAGGGAGGGGCTTAAGAAGGGAGGAGGGAGGGAGAGAGGGAGGGAGGGAGTCACATGCTGGGGATGAGGAGCCACTGAAGGTGCAGAAGTTCCCAGGTAGGTATGGGATAGGGGTAGGGAGAAATGCAGGAGCCTGCGGTATGGGCTCCTTAGGAGGAAGTGTAGGGGAGCTGGGAGGCATAGGGATGGGAAGCAGAGGTTGGCCTTTAGGAAGAGAAACAGTGCCTGGGGAGGACTTACTTTGGTGTTGAGGGGCTGGACCTGGGCCTCCGCATCCAGGTCTCCATCCTCATCCGTCTGCTCACTGTCTCCACTCCCTTCCTCCAAGCTTGGATCAGATCCACCTGCAATAAAGAGGTGCATGGCTCCACCCTTGGAGGGCTGGACGGGGAGACCACTTAACTGTCTCTCCATCCATCCAGCCATTTTCCCACTCGATGCCAACTACCCACCTGCCCACCTGTGGTGTTTTGAATGCCAATGGCCCCCATAAGCTCATCTATTTGAACACTTTTCTCTAGTGGATGGAACTGTTTGGGAAGGATGATGAGGCATGGCCTTAATGGAGGAGGTGTGTCACTGGGGGTTGAGCTTTGAAGTTTCAAAGACTGGTACCATTCCTAGCTACCCTTTCTCTGCCTCGTGGTGTGTCTCAAGACGTGAGTTCTCTCCTATTGCTCTAGTGACAAGGCTGCCACCTGCCTGTCATGATCTCCACCATGATGGTCATAGACCCTCAACCTCTGAAACCATAATCCCCAAATAAACTCTTCACAGCAATAGAAAAGTAACTAAGACACCCTCCCTCCTTCCATCCCTCCCTCCCACTCTTCTTTCTTCTATTTATGTATCCACCTATGGATCTACCAGCCAAGCACCTGGTTACAACTATATACCTGCCCATCTTTCTTAACTTTTCTTGTATCTACCTTCTGATCATCCATCAATCCATCCATCCATCCATACATACATACATACATAAATCTATCTATCCATCCATACATAAATCTATCCATTCATCCATCCATCCATAAATCCATCCACCCATCCATCAGTCCATCCATCCATCCATCCATCCATCCATCCATCCATCCATCCATCCAAAAACCCTGTCTTCTTCATTTCCACAGCAGGATACTATGCTAAGGTGAGCCAGGCCTCAGATGGCTCTGGTTCCTCAGGATGTGACCTAGTTCACAGTGGCCTTGGTCAGTGTACCCCACTTTCGTCCCTCATCCTGCCTGTGACTCTGCTGCCTACGAACAGCCACCTGGGAAAGTGCTGGGGGGACACAGGGGACCCTCTTCCTGCCCTGTACTTTTGGGCTCCTGGGTCATGGGTCTGGGAGGCTCTTAGGTGGATTTTTCTCCTTCCCTCTACCACCCATGCCTGCTCAGTCTGAACCTGAACCTGTTGCAAGCATGGTGGGCAGAACCTCCTTTGCAGTGTGGCAGAATGGGAGGGGTCGGTGTCAGCAGAAGCAGGCTGTGGAGGCAATGGCTGACTTCCTGGGGTGACATCAAAAGCTAAGCACCCCTCCCCAGCCTTCAGGATCCTTCCAGATACGACTTCTGACTTCTCTCTACACTGAGGACACAGGTCCGAGCTGCACCTATCTGATCAAACATATTAAACAAGTCTGAAGGGTTTCCCACATTCCTGCCACAGACCAGGGACGTCCTGACCTCACTTGCCCCGGAGAAAAAAAAAAGACAAAAAGGAAGACAGCTGAGGCCCCACTATTGACAGCAAGTAAATTCTGCTGTCTGCGGGGAAAACCTGCATGCAAACATAGGGCTTTGATAAGGAGGGGATGCTGGGTACCTAGCAACAGGCGAGAGCCCATTCCTTTCCCACACGAAGGCTGCTTTATGAAGAGCCCATGAAGCCCTGCCTGGAAACAGGCCTTGCTCAGAGGGTCTGCAATGACACCATTCATGCCCAGGCTGAGAGAGCTCAGAACAGTAACTTTGCTCTTTTGGTTGTTTTTATTTTCTTTTAAGAAAGTCCCCTTTGAGAGGTGATGACTTAGTGGCCAAAAGCACAGACTTTAAGCAGAGGATCTGGGTTTGATTCCCAACACCCACACTGGGTGGTGGTGGTGGTGGTGTCCATACACACCTGTAACTCTAGATCCAGGTTCTTTCATGAACTTCTCTAACATCCATGGTCCTGCGCTTACATGTACATAACACACACACACACACACACACACACACACACACACACGACTAATTTTAATAAATATTTAAAGAATAAAATAGCGTAAGTGCGAGCTCCTTTCTTCTGCTGTGTCTTGACTTGCTCTGTTTACAGGAGCCCAGCAGGGGAGAATAAAGCTTTGGGACCTAGCGGCTTGTGAGGAAGTGCCCCTAGGTCGTTTTTGGTCCCACAGCGCCACCTGCTGGTCTTCATGGAGACAGTTTTGAGAGTGGCCGATTATCGCAGGCAGTGTTAATTCCCACAACTTTCTAGATGGCTAAAGGAAAACTGTCAACTTCTAAGTGACAGACGGCTGACACCCTGGCTACGAATCCTCAACATAGTGTAAAATTTTAGAAAAAAAAGAAAAAACCACTGACTTCAAATATTGGGGATGTTTATAGCAAACTGGAACTCTCAGGGGGCTGGAACACGACTGAGGGCTCCGGAGATAGGTGCCACACAGAAGCCAACCAACCACAGTGGAACAGTTCTTCAACATTAAAGGATGTCTGGAACAGCCCCAGGCCGAGTCCTCCCCTTACCGCCACCCTGCAGCCGCCCACAGAGAGACCGGATCACTTTGGCACTCCCGAAGTGCTTGAACCGAGCTCTCAGGTGCTGGTAGTACCACTCCAGGGAGCCGATCTTCACGACTCTGCGGGGAGATGAGCGCGGATCTGAGGCAGTGTCTTCTCCAGCCAGCCCCACCAAAGGGACACAACAGGCTTAGAAGCCATTAGGGATGTTCTGCCTCCGGGGCTCACCTGGCCAAGTGGCAGGGGTCGCAGAGCCAGCCCTGCTCTTCTGGGTGGGCGTGGCGGCAGTTTTTGCAGACATAGAGGCCGCACTCTAGACACTGCCTTCTGCTATTCACGAGGAGCCGGTAGGGCTGCAGGCAGCGGGCACAGTGGGTCTCATTCAGATGGGCTGTGTCAGACAGCAGCTCCCTCTTCGAGCTCTCCTTTTGTATCTTGCCCTTCAGTCCCCTGGGAAGAGTGTAGGACCAAGAAAAACATCAGATGGCTGGTTCTACACGAGGTGGCTGAGTGCAGGCAGTGTGAATATGTGCTCGCGTGGACGGCACTTCCATGTGCATGAGTGTGGGCCCAAAATGATGGAAGGCAATATCGGGCATCTTGGCCATTAGCAGAACGCCAGTTTGCCCTTTTCCTGGAGGGGATAAACAGGTCAGGCTTAATCATATCCAATTTTGGTAGGTTAGAGTTGAAACCTATGATTGTTACAGAATGGTACTGCCCTTTAGCGTTGCTGTGGCATTTACAATTGTGCCCTGTGCCTTCTCTTGTGGGTCAGAGACTCCCTAGGCAAGGTCCAGTGACATTTCCTCAGCAGGTGGTTTTAGACGTCTTCCAGCATGCACCAAGTCAAGGCCTAGGATTGCCCTTACAGAACCTGACCTAGGTGTTTGGCTTGGAGTGTCTCCAGACAGGAATCCCCCAGCACCCGGAAGTCCCAGGAGAAACCTGTTCTTCGAGACCATCTGGTTTAAAATAACACCGCTTCCTGGCGAGTCTGCCAAGTGGAACCAGCTGCAACTGACTGGAAAATGTACCCCAGATCCTAATGAATGCACCCCCTTTGTCCTGAGTTTCCCAGAATGCCTGCCAAGCATAACATTTTCAGTTTTAGATAGGATAACGGTAATCTGTTCCGAGTGAGAAAAATTAGCAAATCACTGGGACCACTGTCTCCTAAGGACTTTTAAGTCTTCGATTTTCCTGGGGATACTCCAGCATGGGAGGGTTGAGGGGTGCTGGGAGGGTTGAGGGGTGCTGGGAGGGTTGAGGGGTGCTGGGAGGGTACACCTGGCTTGAATGTCACTGGTTTACTGTTATGGCCAACAAGAAAAAGAAGGGTGTGTATGAGAGAGAGAGAGAGAGAGAGAGAGAGAGAGAGAGAGAGAGAATGATTTTAAATATTGTATTGTTTTTATGCATTTTTATTCAGACTACAAAGCATTGGGCTTTCTCGCACATGTGTTATTCTGCACTGTTCCCAGCTATCTCCCTCCCCACCCCACCCCCACGCTGGTTCCTTTTCCTCTCCTAGTTACTTCCTACTTAAACTTTCCTTTTATGTGGAATCCATTACCTTCTCTATTTCCCACCTCCTTCCTCCAGCTGGGCTGGTATAGTGGTGCACACCTTTAATTCCAGCACTTAGGAGGTAGAGGCAGGCAGATCTTTGTGAGTTCGAGGCCAGCCTGGTCTACGTAGGGTTCCAGGAGAGCCAGGACTACATAGAGAGACTTTGTCTCAAAGAACAAAAACAAAAAAACAAAACAAAAAACCACAAACAAATAAATAAAAGATGGATTTCCTCCTCCCCTGTTTGTTACCTATAAACACACAGATGTAAACACGAATAGATGCATAAAATATTAACGCTGGTCTTTTTGAGTCTGACTTATTTCATTTAGCATAAAGATTTATGGTTTCATCCCCTCTTCTGCAAATGACTTGATTACAGTTTTCTGCATGGCCATGTAAAATTCCTCTGCATACATACACCACATTTTCTTTATTGATTCACCTGCTGATGGTCGTCTAGACCGGTTCCATTTTCTGAGTATTTCAAATACTGCAGCAATAAACACAGATGTATAAATGTTTCTGTGGTGTGCTGACTTAGAACACTTTGGACGTATGCCCAGGCCTGGCATAGCTGAGTTCTATTTCCAAGAACCTCCATATTGTCTTCCACAGTGGCTGGAGCTAGTCTATATTTATGACAGCAGAGAATAAGGCTTCCTCTTTTCCACATCCCCGCCAGCACTTGTTGTCAGTGGTTTTCTCAATGGTAGCCGTTCTGACTGGGGTGAGATGGGACCGCAAAGCAGTTTTTCGTTTGCATCTCTCTGATGCCCAAGGATGGTGATCACCCTTTCCAAGTATCGACTGTATTCATAGTTCTTCTGAGAGCTCTCTATGGAGCTCATTTTTTTGAAATCATTTGCTGTTTTTTTCACATTTAAATTGTATAGTTCTTGTGATATGTTTTTATAACATTCTGTTCTATTTTCAGCTGTACTGTTATTCTCATACTGTACTTATACTATAAGCTCGCTGTGTCTTGGGTATGGACTTATGAGAAGAGGCACAGCGTTGAAAGGCTTGGCACCACCCACTATTTCAGACATTATAACATCTTTTCTGAACAGGAGTGACTAGCTACTCATGCTGGATAGTTTTATGTCAACTCGACACATACTTGAGTTATCTGAAAGGAAGAATCTTAACTGAGAAAATGCCTTCCTAAGATCTGGCTGTAGGGCATTTTCTTAATTAATGATTGATTGATGGGGGAAGGCCCAGCCCACTGTGGGTGATGCCACCCCAGGGCTGGTGGTCCTGGGTTTTATAAGAAAGCAGGCTAAGAAAGCCATGGGGAGCAGGCCAGTAAGCAGCGCCCCTCCATCAGCTCCTACCTTCAGGTTCCTGACCTGCTTGGGTTCCAGTCCTGACTTCCTTCGAGGATGGACAGTGCCATGGAAGTGTAAACCAAATAACCTCTTTCCTCTCCAAGTTTCTTTGGTCATGGTATTTCATCACAGCAATAGTAACCCTAACTAGGACAAGTTGGTACCAGGAGTGGGGTATTGCGTTGATGTGACAGACCTGACCGTGTTTGGGGGAGGATTGTGGAAGGGCGTTGGAAGGCTGGACTAGAAAAGCCATTGAGTCTTGAGAGCTCAGTGGGCTGCTTTGTAGGAGCTTGGCAGAGGAGGATGTTGGGGGGGGGGGAACACAAAGGATGGAGCTCGGGCTTGTGAAGTTTCAAAGGGAAGTTTAAAGACCCTGGGGGCGGGGCCCTAGTTATTGTCAATTAAGACCTCATCGTTCTGGTTCCCTGGGGCTCAAGAATCAGCTGTGATGGACAAGATGCCAGACCGCTAGAATGGCCCTAGTTATTGTCAATTAAGACCTCATCGTTCTGGTTCCCTGGGGCTCAAGAATCAGCTGTGATGGACAAGATGCCAGACCGCTAGAATGGACCTATCTTTGTTTTGCTGGAGTGCTTGACGTCAGTCAGCTGGAACTGGCACATTAGTGATTCTAAGAAGAAACCAGCATCAGTGAGGTGAAGTCTTCTGGGGAGAAGTGAGGTGAATGTTTCCTAAGAGTCAGCACACAGAAGCTGTCTTTAGAGGCAGCCAAGGTTTTACCTTGTCCTGGCAGATGAACTTGGTAGTGTAAGAGCTGCCCAGGTAGTTCTAGTTTTGAAGGCATGAAGGGGGTCACGGAGAGTAGCTGAGGTTTGGCACTGTGAGAGGCCGGGAGAAGCCATTGGGGAAGGTGCAGCCTCAGTGGCAGTTGAAGGCCCAGGATTGAAGGGGTCATGCAGGGCTGTGGAACCATGAAGAGAGCCCAGGGGAGGCTATTGGTGAAAGTGCAACCCAGCTGCAGCAGAGTTTTGGAGATGCCAGTACCATGGGACAAACACCATTGCTGCAGCAATGGAACCAATCAGAGCCTGGAAGACAAGCTCTGTGTGCTGCAGAGGGCAGAGCTGGAGAAGGGACTCCAGCCCCACGGAGGAGCCCAGGAAATCACGAGTGAATCCTAAATAACTGGACATTGAGTTAGTTTTGGGAGTTGGTTTTACTTTGTTCAGATTGTGACTGTGTCCTGGTTCTTCCTTTTGGAAGTAAGGACATATTTTTGACGGTTGAGAGACTTTTAAAAGATTGGATCTTGAAAGAGGCTGGCTATTTCAAGAGACTGATTTCTACTTTCCAGTGTTTAAATTTTTAAAGAGTGTGAAAACGTTTACAATTTGTATTGTTTATATTGTAATGTTGATTTTAGTGTGTGTTCTTGGGGAAGTACAAGGAAGGAAAAGATATGGCTTTTAACACTGTTGTGTTTGTCAAGTTGACAAAGAGTTAATTGTGCTGGCTAGTTTTATGTCAAAGTAAGACAAGTGAGAGTTATCTGAAAGGAGGGAACCTCAAGACTTGTTGACACACTCTGAAAACCAAGAAAAAAAGGCCAGCAGTGACCAGAAACTTGGAGCAATGCTGGTATTGCTCTATAGCATAGTTCAGATAAAGCCATCCCACACACCTGGCTGTGAACAGTCACAGGGCCCAGGACCCAGCGGGAAGGCCCAGCCTCCTTCACTTCCGATCTCCTGTCTGCGCCAACCAGGGAAGCTATGGGTCACCCTTCCTCCAGACCCCTCCATCCCCCAGCTCAGCAAGAAGAAGGTGCAGACATTTGAAGCCATGATAGCCAAAGTGTGAAAAAAGTCTGGGGACGGAGCTGGAATTATATTTCAGGTACTGAACTTGGGGGAAAGCATGATCCCCCGTTTCAGGTTCTAGCTGGAGAATGGGAGGAGAAGACCAAGGAGGCACCATGTTGGGGGTTAGGAGGCATTTGTCAGCGGCTGGGCACCTCACCTAAACTGGATCCATGATCGTCAGGAGAGGTGTGTCTGGGGACAGATGTCTTCTCCAAAATGAACACTAAGCAGCTACTTCAAGAAAGACTGATTGCTGACCACAGAAAAATGAAAGTTTCAAACACAAAGTAGAACTTAAGAAAACCCTTGTCCTCTCTTGCAAGAGCGACAGTTTCCAGCTTTCACCATTTCTAGGAACAGTAGAGCAGCGTGACTCAGTTTCCTTCTGTTGAGTGGACATGGCACCATGCGAAGGTGTGGACATGGTACCATGCGAAGGTCTGAACAAAACAGGGAGCCATGATTTTCAAAGGTTCAGTTTCAAAAATTACACACAGGTAGAAGGTTCTCTCCAAGGGAAAGATGGACTGGACATCAGAATGAAAAGCTCATCAATAAGGTTCAAGAGCCCACATCACAATCAACCCGCAAGAAACTACAAGAAGTGGTCAAACTTAATGTGCAGAATTATCCAAAATTCATCTCACCCCCCCTCCTCAAAAAACAAGTCAGCTCCTTCAACCAGATGTAGTGGCACATACCAGTAATCCCAGTTCTC